ATTGGTCTTGGAGTTTGCTGTGTTCTGCTTGATTGGTGTTTCTAATATCTTCTGTCTGTTTCGTGGCTTTTTTTTGTCTTGAATGGCTGACAACATTGTGTTCCTGTATTGGAGGCTTTTAGTGCAGCTTGGCTCCGAGTAAATGGACGGCTACGCTATGTTTGTCTGTTTTGAAGGCAGTCTTGATGTGATGCCTGTGTGGTATCTTACTGATTTTGTCTGTAGTACCTCTTATGTAGGGCAGGACAGCTGTCCCATAGGTCTGTTCATCTTCTAGGTCTCCATTATGTCTCAGTGTGTTTTTGTGGATTGAGCCAGTGATTTTGCTTTTGTGGAAGCCGTTGGCTGTCAGTACTTTAGTCAGGGTGCATAGTTCAGTCTTTATGTGTGTGTCATGTCTGCCAGGGGTTTGGTTCTGGCGATTAGTGTTTTGGCCACGGAGTTTATCTGTGCTGGGTGGTGGTGGGATTGGGCATTGAGGTAGCGGTTGGTGTGTGTTTTCTTCTGGTATATGGTGTGTCCTAGTGTGCCATCTGTTTTTTTGTAGATTAGTACATCTAGGAATGGTAGTTGTTTGTTTGTTTCCGTTTCCATGGGGAACTTGATTTTGGGGTGTGTGCTGTTTAGGTGTGTTAGGAAATTGCTTAGGTTTTCTTTTCCATGGGGCCAAATCACAAATGTGTCATTGATGTATCTTAACCATAGTTTGGGTTTGTGGATGGCATTAGCCAGGGCTCTGGATTCAAATTCTTCCATGAACAGGTTTGCAATGACGGGTAACAGTGGTGATCCCATAGGGGCTCCTTCAATTTGCTTGTATCTTTGTCCTTTGTATATGAAATATGTGTTGGTTAAGCAGTGTTCTGTTGGTTCCATGAAGTGTTTGGGTGGTTGGTATTTATTTTTGATGATTTCAAGAGTTTCTTTTATTGGGACTTGAGTGAATAGTGAAACCACGTTGAAACTTACAAGCAGATCTTCTTGTTCCCTGTGTAGACCTTTGATCATTTCAAAGAAGTGGTATGAGTTTTGTACATGTGAAGCTGCTGTTTCAGCATGGAGCTGTAGCTGTTTTGCTAAGTGTTTAGCTAGGTTTTGTAGTGGTGCTCCTCTGGAGCTGACTATGGGTCTGAGAGGTATGCCTTCTTTGTGTATTTTTGGGAGGCTGTATAGTTTGGGGTATCTGGAAGATTTTTCTCTTGGGATGATCGTCTGTTGGATCTGTGGCTGGTTATAATTTTCTTCTTGGTTATTTTTTCCAGATATGTAACCAAGCTAGGTTTCATCCGGATGCCTGGTTGGGGTGTGTTTGAGCTGGAGGTATCAGGGGGGATCTGTTTGTGCCCAGGTGTTTGCCTGGCTTGTGGTGTGGTGATTTTTTTGTTTGTGACTGCAGGCTTCCAAATAATTGTTAAGTACCCACGAAAACTTAAGAAAACACACATATATATATAAACATACATATATTGTGTTCGACGAACACAATACAGAAGCCTGATGATGGCAGATGAGATTCTGCCGAAACGTTGCTACAACTTTAAAAGCACAACTATAATGACGTGGGAAAATACCCAAACAAAGCTGAATACCATATATGTTTTCTTAAGTTTTCGTGGGTACTTACATGTATGGCATTCAGCTTCGTTCGGGTATTGTCCCACGTCATTGTAGTTGTACTTTTAAAGTTGTAGCATCATCAGGCTTCTGTATAGTGTTCATCTATAACACTATGAACACTATACAGAAGCCTGATGATGGCAGATGAGATTCTGCCGAAACGTTGCTAAAACTTTAAAAGCACAACTACAATGACGTGGGAAAATACCCGAACGAAGCTGAATGCCATACATACATACATACATACATACATACATACATATATATATACACACACACACACACATATACATATACATATGTATTTGTTTTCTTAAGTTTTCACGGGTACTTACATGTATGGTATTCAGCTTTGTTCTTACATGTATGGTATTCAGCTTGTTATATATGTTGTATTTATGTTGTATATGTACACACTCACATACTCACATGTGGATATACTTATTCACCAACTGACTTCCAGCACATTACCGTATCTACCAATACATCAAATGCTGATACAATTAATTACACTACTTAACATGTCACTTATTCATTTGTAATGGAGAATATGATGATACAAGATTTAACAACAGTAAATCGCTGTCTTAGCATCTTCAAAATTCAGTCAATGTTCCAAATTAAATTGTAACAGCTAAATCAAAAAATAGCAAAGAACTAATTACCTTACTTATATCTGGGGGATGTAAAGTATCATTTGTTTCATTGTTTCCAATCACAGAATGTTGGCATTTTTTCAAAGCTACTGACTCTTTTCCATGAAAAGCTTCTGAAGAAACTCGGTTTCTTGGAGGCTCCAAACGGCTAAATGCTCTCAATTTCTCAAAGGTTTCTGAGCATATTTCAGAGTGCATACATTTCTTTGTTTCCCCTTCATTAGCAATATCAATAAAACGTTTTATCGCAAACATACTACATCCAAGAAATATTTTTTATCATTCTTCCATACACTTTTCTTATCCAATAATTATGCTGATATCTATCCTGCTCAATAGCTATATTTGGCTATATTATACAATGTCAGTCTTTAAGCTATATTGCTTCTCCCTTGACAACAGTGCAAAAATAGGGATTTTTTAAAGTCTACAAACATCCTGTTTTATGCACTAGTTATTTCTTGATCTTGTCATATCTATCCAGAAATCTATTACCGAAAATCACTCATATACCTTGCGGCTTTGAAAATGTAATTCTCTCATTAATTTCTAAAACTTTCCTATTCTGTTCCTATTCTCTCCTATTCTACACATTTATGACAGTGTAATATCCAAACCAAATAAAGTGGCTGAAAATATTCACAAATATTAACAGTTTAAAATATTTACAAAATATGACTGAACATCAAACAGGTATGATTAAGTTTCAGTTAGGTGGCATATGCTAATGTATATGAGAATGAACTTTGTAAATAACAAAATAAAAAACCCAAAGCAAATCCCCTAATTCTATCTTGCTCCTAGGTTTCTAGATAACCACAGAAGCTGCAGTTACAGAATATTTCCCAATTTTTGTGATAACTCCTGGACAGAAAGAAGTTACGATATTTAGAACATACCTGTTTTCTGAATATCTACTGAATTATTCTCTTCTTTTCCATACTGTAGAGACTTTGAGGATTTGCCAATATATTCTTTGTTCTTTACCAGTTTTTTCTTTTTCCTATCAGGCTCAATAATCTAAATAAAGAAGTTTTAACATATTTGTGAAATAATTTGTTTTATATTAATAAAATTAATAAAAGCAAAAAAAAAATCAAACTAACTGTGGCTTACTGAAGTTAATCATCCTTGCATTTGATCTGTGATTACAACCATAAAGCTATTTCCTTGTACTAATCATCCATAACAGATTGACAACCTTTTCTAGTTTCCAGAAAATTAAATCTGAAACCAAGGTTGATAACTGATTTCAAATTTCTGATTCTTAACATCTCTACGCTATCAGGGAGGTTTTATATAGATAGGATGGCTTAAGGAATGTGAACCAATGCCCATCTGGTTCTAAACAGCAGTGGTATTCAGCAGGTTCTGACCGGTTCTGGAGAACCAGTAGCAGAAATTTTGAGTAGTTCAGAGAACCGGCAAATACCACCTCTGACTGGAGATTTTACAGTATCCTTCCCCTGCCACGCCCACCAAGCCATGACCACAGAACCGGCCGTAAAAAAAATTGAATCCCACCACTGGTTCTAGTGGAATGATGTTGAGATTTATATGTTTTCTCTCATACATAAGAAAAAGGAACTATTTGAATCAGCATTCAAAGTTACAATGGCATTGAAAAAAGTGAGTTATGACCATTTTTCACACTTAAGACCATTGTAGCATCCCCATGGTCACATGATTTACATTTGGATGCTTGACAACTGATTCACATTTATAACGGTTGCAGTGTTCCAGGATCATGTGGTCCCCTTTTGTGACCTTCTGACAAAAGTCAATGGGGAAACAAGATTCCTTAACACCTTGTGACTAATTTAACAACTGCAGTGATTCACTTAATAAATGTGGCAAGAAAAGTCCATAAGATGGGGCAAAACTCACTTAACACATTTCTCACTTAACATAATTTTTGGGGTCAATTGTGGTCATAAGTTGACAACTACCTGTACTTTGAATGACTGAACAGAAGGGAGATTCCTGGGTGTCCTAAGCCCAATGCTGCTGTGATGGGGAGGAAGCAAACAGGGTGCTTATTCATACTTTTGTAAGTACTATTTGGGGTTCGGCGTGTTCTCTTTATACTCCTGCTTTGACGTGTCCTTTTTAACTACCATAATGAAATTTCAGTATGTTGTAACTGGTCTGACTCCATTTACCATGAAGCTGCGGCCAAACCAACTTTGTTGGGTGCTCTTGGTGTCAAAAGAGCAGAATGCAAAGGTCCCAGACTTACTTTATTTTTATATAAAAAAGGGGCATATAACTTTGAAGAGAAAGCTTCCCAAGTAGGATTAGCAGTTCTGCAACTACTACTACAGCCTTGCTTCTAATAACCATTGGAGAGGGCAATCCAGGCTCAGCGGGTTAAGGCTAAAACGGGATGGGGGGGGAGGGGAATTACCGCCAAAATTACCCAACCCGATCACGGTGCATTAAGAGGGCCACAAAACAGCAAGAGGGTCAACGCGGGAGTTTTAACGAACGGGGACCCCGCTTCGCCTTCACCACCATCCGGGATGATACCACCTTCGCCGCATGCTGAGCAGTGGCGTCAGGCGTTAGAAAGTGTTTTTTCACCTCCTCAGCGGAGCCGCTGCTTTGCAAAGATGCCACCGGCGGGAAGAATTTGCTTAACACGGGCTGGTCCCGAGACTGGTCACCGGGGTTAGGCCGCCTCCTTCTTCGCCCAGGCAGCATCGCAGACTCGGTGCAGGAGCAGATATATTACGAAAGTAGCCCCCGGCCTGCGATGAGCCGCTTGAGACGAGCCGCGCAGGTCGGCGGGGCAGCTCTAGGAGGACTCGTCTGCCGGAGACTACCCGGCCTCTTTCTTCCCGCAACGGACGAGGCGCGGGCGTCGTTAGGTCACCGAAGCGCTCCGACTTCTTCGCCGGTCAGCGAAAATGACCCCGCCATTACGGCTGCCAAGACCCCCCGCCCTTCTCTCCTTGCAGGAGGCGGGTCTCTCTGCGCATGCTCCGTAGATTCGCTGGCTCACAAATCTAGCGGGAAAAGGGACTCGCCGATACAGAGTTCCTGCGGCGAAAAAAGAGCGATGGTAGCGTCTCTGTACTCGATCGTTGCTGTGTGCAACAATATGGGCATCGGAAAAGACGGAAAGCTTCCTTGGCCCCCGCTCAGGTACTGTCCGGCTTTTATTTCATCCCGCGCTTTACCGCGAAGAGAAAAACCACAACTCCCAGTGTGCATTGCTTGCTTGCCTTCCATTGGAAGTTGCATTGAAGCACTTTTCTGAATGAGTGAGGCGTAAGCTTGGGAGTTGTAGTTAATACGATCAGACTTGTTTTTTTTCCTAACCCAGAGGTTAGCAAATATTTTTAGCGCAAGTTTTTTCTTTAGTGAGCTCTTAACGATAGTTTATTGTTGAATTCATTTTCCCTCTGCCAGTCCCTAACCAGTACTACCGCTAAGCTGGATATATGGGACATCTGGCCCTTTTCATCTAAAGCGGTTTTCAACGAACAGCATTATTTTGTCGCCCGCCAAATAATTAGAAAATGCTTGAAATCCTCTTACCCGATACTCCAGTACTGGGCAAAAGCTTGAAGCAAGAGATAAAATGTCTCCCCGCCCATCCTCAGACAGAAATTGCCCAGAGTTAAATAATATTTCAGAAGATCACTGACCTTTGGGACAGCAAACTTACAGATTGCGTTAAGTGGAATAAAGGGCACATTTCTGGGGATATTTTTCTGTGTTGTCCCTCTGGATGTATTGGTAGTCCTCAACTTACGACCACAATTGAGCCCAAAATTTATGTTGTTAAGTGAGAAAGTTAAGTATTTGTCCCATTTTACGACTTCTCACCACATTTATTAAGTGAACCACTGCAGTTCTTAAATTAGTAGCAAGGTTGTTAAGTGAATCTGGATTCCCCATTGACCTTGCTTGTCAGAAGGTCACAAAAGGAGATCATATGACTCTGGGACACTGCAACCATCATAAATGCAAACATCTGTTGTCAGGCATCTGAATGTAAATCATGTGACTATGGAGATGCTGCAATGGTCATAAGTGTGAAAATAGCAATAACACTTCGACTTATATACCGCTTTACAGCCCTCTCAAAATGGTTTACAGAGTCAGCATATTGCCCCCAACAATTTGAGTCCTCATTTTACCCACCTCGGAAGGATGGAAGACTGAGTCAACCTTGAGCCTGGTGGGATTTGATCTGCCAAATTTCAGTAGGAGTGGCTTGCAGTACTGCACTCTAACCACTGCACCACCAAGGCTCCAAAATGGTTGTCACTTTTTTCAGTTCTGTTGTAATTTTGAACGGTAACTGAACTGTTGTAGGTCGAGGACTACCTGTATTGTCTGAAGGAGTAGAACTGAACTTTGTAAATAAGAGAACTGCAATGTAGAGACAGATGTAAAAATTAAAATTGGTCTGTGTGAATTAACTGCATAACTATTCCTTCGTGGTTTGATATCTTGATATAAGAGTAGAACCGAAGAACATTAAGGGAGTTTAGATCTTAACATTTCATGGACTTTTTCTATTGTCTAGACATGCATCCTGGGGACACACACACTTGCTTGATTAAATCATGGCACATCATTTAATCAAATAAGTGTCCAGATCTTGAGAGTAATGTTAGAGAGTGCTCGTGAAGGTTACATCATCACAAAATGTGTTTTTGCTTTGTACAGGAACGAATATAAGCATTTTCAGAAAATGACAATGACGACTAAAGAAGAAGGTAATAGTGGCTAATTTTTCCTGGATTGGGTGATGACTGTCATTGTTTAGACTAGAAGTAGGCAACTATGACACTTTTATGACTTGTGGACTTCAACTGGCTCAGGAATTCTGGGAATTGGAAGTTCACAAGTCATAAAAGGATCATAATTTCCCATCCCCAGTTTTGAAAGAAACGGAATCAAAACATTCTAAAATCTGCATTGAGGGTCCAAGCACATTATTGATCCTATCAGAAGCCCACAGGCTACTGAATGAGAAGAATGTTTTATGTGTTGTAGAAGTACGTTCTTGGTTCAGTTGAAATCAGCCTTAATAAGAAAGCCTTAACAAGTTAGGGTAGCAATGTCATTTATTTTACATAGTAGCATAATTTGCAGTATTAACATTTTGTATTTTCATCTTTGTAGTTCCTTAACACAACCCTTCAAAGTATGTTAGTAAAATTCCAGATGTTTAGTGGAGTGATTTATTTAAAATCATATAAAATGACCTAGAGAATAAGGAAATACCTAGTTCTTGTGTAATTCTTTCGACTAGGGCGCTGCACAGCTAAGTGCAGTTTGTGTCCATTTCTATCCTTATTAATGTAAGGATCAATTCTTCAGTCCACGTGATAAAAGGATATTAGAACTATCAGTCATGCAGAGACTTGTCCCAATTTATATACTGGAGAGAAGGAACAGAAGAGAAACGTTGCTGGGACTGGGATGCATCAGAAGAGAAAGAAGATTGGGAGAGGCTGGTGGAAGAACATGTCTCTTCCACCATTTTACAACAAAATAATTTTCAAATCAGTAAAGGATTTTGTGGCAGCAATAAAAACCAATAGAACCAATAGGAAAAAATCCCCACAACAGACAAAGAACACCATGGTGTCATAACAAAATCAGTGAAAACTGTAAAATCCAACAATTGTCCAGGAAATAGACTATAAAATACATTGCTCAAAAAAATAAAGGGAACACAAAAATAAGACATCCTAGATCTGAATGAATGAAATATTCTTATTAAATACTTTGTTCATTACATAGTTGAATGTGCTGACAACAAAATCACACAAAAATTATCAATGGAAATCAAATTTAGCAACCTGTGGAGGTCTGGATTTGGAGTTACACTAAAAATTAAAGTGGAAAACAACACTACAGGCTGATCCAACTTTGATGTAATGTCCTTAAAACAAGTCAAAATGAGGCTCAGTAGTGTGTGTGGCCTCCACGTGCCTGTATGACCTCCCTACAACACCTGGGCATGCTCCTGATGAGGTGGCGGATGGTCTCCTGAGGAATCTCCTCCCACACCTGGACTAAAGCATCCCCCAACTCCTGGACAGTCTGTGGTGCAACGTGGCGTTGGTGGATGGAGCGAGACATGATGTCCCAGATGTGCTCAATTGGATTCAGGTCTGGGGAACGGGCGGGCCAGTCCATAGCATCAATGCCTTTGTCTTGCAGGAACTGCTGACACACTCCAGTCACATGAGATCTAGCATTGTCGTGCATTAGGAGGAACCCAGGGCCAACCGCACCAGCATATGGTCTCACAAGGGGTCAGAGGATCTCATCTCGGTACCTAATGGCAGTCAGGCTACCTCTTATGAGCACATGGAGGGCTGTGCGGCCCCCTAAAGAAATGCCACCTCATACCATTACTGACCCACTGCCAAACCGGTCATGCTGGAGGATGTTGCAGGCAGCAGAATGTTCTCCACACCATCTACAGACCCTGTCACATCTGTCACATGTGCTCAGTGTGAACCTGCTTTCATCTGTGGAGAGCACAGGGCGCCAGTGGCGAATTTGCCAATCTTGGTGTTCTCTGGCAAATGCCAAACATCCTGCACGGTATTGGGCTGCAAGCACAACCCCTACCTGTGGACATCGGGCCCTCATACTACCCTCATGGAGTCTGTTTCTGACCATTTGAGCAGCCATGTGCACATTTGTAGCCCACTGGAGGTCATTTTGCAGGGCTCTGGCAGTGCTCCTCCTGTCCCTCCTTGCACAAAGGTGGAGGTAGCGGTCCTGATGCTGGGTTGTTGTCCTCCTACAGACTCCTCCACATCTCCTGATGTACTGGCCTGTCTCCTGGTAGTGCCTCCATGCTCTGGACACTATGCTGACAGACACAGCAAACCTTCTTGCCACAGCTCACATTGATGTGCCATCCTGGATGAGCTGCACCACCTGAGCTACTTGTGTGGGTTGTAGACTCCATCTCATTCTACCACTAGAGTGAAAGCACCGCCAGTATTCAAAAGTGACCAAACCGTCAGCCAGAAAGCATAGGAACTGAGAAGTGGTCTGTGGTCACCACCTGCAGAACCACTCCTTTATTGGGGATGTCTTGCTAACTGCCTATGCTTTCCACCTGTTGTCTATATTCTATTTGTACAACAGCATGTGAAATTGATTGTCAGTGTTGCTACCTAAGTGGACATTTTGATTTCACAGAAGTGTGATTGACTTGGAGTTACATTGTGCTGTTTAAGTGTTCCCTTTATTTTTTTGAGCAGTGTATAAAGATGGCTATTTCATACAGAACTTTACATTTTCTTGATATATTTGCAATCCAAATCCCCTAATATTTTGTGTTATGCGTCAGGAATCACAGAAGAAATGCACAACTGAGTAGATCCTTTTTTTCAAAAGGGAATCTTCCTTCATCAGAGGCCATCCAAATTTTATTTTCTTCTCTAATTGAACTTGCAGTGAGTCACTGATATCCAGAGCTTTTCTTCAAAGTTTGAGGTGTAGCAATATTGCTTGAAAAGGTTGACAAAAAATACCACACTATAACCACTAGGCGTCACTACATAATCACATTAAATTTATTTGCATTTTACAGGAAAGCAAAATGTGGTCATAATGGGTAGGAAGACTTGGTTCTCCATCCCTGAGAAACATCGTCCGTTAAAAAACAGAATTAATATAGTACTTAGTAAAGAACTGAAGTAAGTACCAATGTTGAATTTTTTTCCAAATATCATTGTAGCTAATTTCCTTATAATCAGCTACAATGAGTAAAGTGATTGTTGAGAGTGATGTCAACATGATCGCACGCCAACTTTTAAATAATTATATTTGATTAACAATCGTTTACTTGTTCAGAAATACAAACAGCCATTCTGTCAGAGTTGCTTAGCAGCAATAATTTCTTTTCATTTTAATGTGAGATATTCATGGATATTCCATTTTCACATATCGTTGATTTTATGAGCAGATTGCAAAAAACTTTGGTTTTTTAATTTGTATCCCTAGTAAATTTATGTTAATTTCAGTCCATTAATAATGCATATGGATTTTACTAAGATTGTTTTTTAGTCCCCAAAAGAATACATATATTATGTCTTTGAGTTTTGTATAACAGTTTGTATAATATGGGGAAACCCCACACTAATATATCAGTGGGTTCTTATGACTAAGTTACTTGCTATTCCAAATCAAAGTGCCTATCCTCTTCACTATAACTTCTAAATTATTCCTGAAATCAGTAATTCAAGTAGGGTTCCTAGGCAGATACGTGATTGAGATAAATGCATGTATTTCAGGCCAAAGGCACAAAAACAACATATTAGACCTAAAAATATTCAGCCTATTTGTAAATAAAGAAATTTGGAATTCAAGTTTAATTAATGTTGATATTGCTATCAATTTTAGGAGTTTATTATATTTAATGTATATTTCCAAGCATTTTGAAGGATTATACTGGCTTGTTTAATTTATCTCTTGTTTTAAAGCTTTAATATTTTAACTTTATTGCATTAAAATTGAATACAGCCTAACTTTCAGGGATAAGCAGTACAAAACAAAAACTCAGTCACTTAGGTAGGAAATAGGTAGAGTCAGGGGTGGCTTTCTACCGGTTCTGTCCACCTCTGTAGAACTGGTAGCTCTGAAGAGCAGCAGACATAGAACCGGTTCTATGTCTGCTGATGTTTTTGCCCACCCGGGCTCTTACCTGATCTTTATTTCCTGATTTTTCAATTTCAGCTGCCAAACGAGGCACAGCTACAGTTAAAAAAAGCAGGAAAAGAGGGCTGTTTCAAAGGCTGCATCTCTGTGCGTGGCTCACAGCGTGCAGGGAAGCTCGTAAATCCCGAACAGGTAGTTAACCCTGTCATATCCCACCCCTGGGTAGAGTAGAGCAGGAATCTTCAACCTCTTGGGCTGCAGGCCACAAGTGGGCTGTGAGCTGTTTGCAACTGGGCCGTGGAAACAGCAGGCAAGTGTGCACATGCATCCCTTCCACCAGTCCACAAAGCTGGAAAGATTGGGGAACTGTGGAGTATAGTATTGTAGAAAATGGGTGTGCCCTCTGCTGGTTTGATTGGGAGAGCAAATTGTACTTTTTCAAGAGGCAACTGGACTTTCCTGTTTTCCTTTGAAGTCATTTCACTTCTCATCCAAGAAGCTCTTTCAGCTCTGACTGGATACACCTCAAGAATAAAACATTGGTATCATGTGTTTAAGGGATGTTCCTGAAGGAGCCCATTACTTGGCTAACAGTCTGGAAGAAGCCCTAGATCATCTTGAAACACCAGAGATGAAAAGAAAGGTAGACAAGGTTTGGATAGTTGGAGGAAGTTCAATATATAAGGTATGATTTAAACACAGAACATCTTTAAATAATCTAATAATCAGAGATGAACTTTTGGGGATTCATTAGTTGTTTTATAACAGTTTTCAGGTTTCACAGAATATGTGATTTTTTCTCCCTTATCTTCATTTTCAACTTAATAAAGCTAAATCAGTTTGAATAAAATTCATAATGGTGATGCAAAAAAAATAATCAAATCATCATTATTGAATTGTAAAGGACATAAAAGCCAGTAAAATAAATTAATACAATTTAAACTGCAACTGATCCAATGTTACAATTTGATTAAAATATTCCTGCAATAAATTGTTCCATTTTATAAACATTCTAATTCTATTTACTGATTCTGTCATTTACCTTAATTATGTGAAGTGCATGAAAGTCATCAAATATAATGATGTCAGGAGCCCACTCTTTCTATTTTTTTCTTTTTTTCATTTTGCGCCATGGCAATCTAGTTATTACAAATCCTTTATTAGTTTGGAATATCATATCCTTAATCTAACAAATAATATAATTGGTAACAAAATATTGTTATATGATTCTAAATATTTTGTTCATAACTTGGCATTCTCAGAATATTGTTTATGGTTCATTGATATGCGTCCTTAATATTTTTAAGTTTTCTGTCAAACATATCTTGTAAATATACTGTATTTTTCTTACATACTTAAAAGTTTCGCTGAGATTCATAAAATATTTTCAAATATTCATGTCTAAACTAAATCTAAAACGAAAGCCCTTTGGAACCTCTTGCCCTCCAAGGTAAGGTCTGTCCCCATCCTCCTATCTTTCTGTAAGACCTGGTTGGCCTGGAGACCAGATGGAGGAATGCCATACTGGAGCTGGCTGCTGGATTGATGGCAGACTCCGCCTCCCTGCTTTCTAGTCTCTGCCCATACATCTTTTCATTACCATATTGATGTATTCACATGTTCTTTTTCACTGTTTATTTTATTCTATTATTTTATTTCTGTTTACGCCCTTTTCCTTTCTTCCTTTTTAATTGTTGTAAACTGCCTAATGCAGTGAAACAGGCAGCACATAAATTTAATAAATAAGTTATAATAAATGTCTATGGAGATTCTCAGTAATCCAGGTCATGGTTGTCCCCAAAGTGCTTTTTCAAAAGACAACTGAACTTTGATTTTTTCCTTGAAGACGTTTCACCTCTCATCCAAGAAGGTTCTTCAGCTGAGGAAGCTTCTTTTGAAAAAAGTATATTTGGGATAAATAATAATAAATAACGAAACACCAAAGAAATTTAAAATTATATTTAAAAAATAAAACTATTTTCTAAGATAAAGATGTTCCTCAACTTATGACCACAAATATGACTGGAATTTTGGTCACTAAGCAATTCAATCATTAAGTGAGTCATTATGTGACCAAACCCAAGCTTAAATTTATGCAAACCAATGTCAATGCTATCATGCCCTCTCTGGCTGCACATGCCATCCAAGAAGGACAGTGATGTAATTTGTAAATTATTTCATTCCTTAGAGGACCATGTTAATTTCCTCAAAAGTCATAGGCTCAAAAGAATCCCACGTGATCTTAGATAGAATAGAATAGAATAGAATAGAATAGAATAGAATAGAATAGAATAGAATACTTTATTGGCCAAGTGTGATTGGACACACAAGGAATTTGTCTTGGTGTAAATACTCTCAGTATAAGGTTTTTTCTCTTCACCCTCCAGCTCAAAGTGAATATGACTGATTTTGCCTTAAAGTGTGTTTCAAATGGTTTTCAAACACCAGCAGATAATATTGTCCAATGGCCGACTTACAGTCCACCTAAGAAAAAGTCTGTTGTGATTTGAATATGTGAGTTTTTGTGGCTTTCCCTTTGACTTTGCTTATTGGAAGCCAGCAGGAAATTTCAAATCCCACACGTATGAGATCCTTGCTTAATGACCTGTCATCTTTGCTTGAGAAGGAAACTGGGACTGCCAGGATTGCTGCCACTAAGGGATGCAATCACATGACATTGTGCTTTGTGACTGTGATGGAAATTCCAGTCCCCATTACTGTTGTTAAGTGAAGACTACTGTAGGCTTTCTGAAAAATAGCCTCTATACTATAGAGCAGAAGTCTCCAATCATGGCAGCTTTAAGACTTGTGGACTTTAACTGCCAGAATTCTACAGCCAGCTTTGCTGGCTGAGGAATTCTGGGAGTTGAAGTCTGCAAGTCTTAAAGTTGCTAAGATTGGAGACCCCTGCTATAGAGTATGCCCAACCTTTTGTTTTGCCTGGACTGCATTGAGTAAAGAGGAATTATTTTGGGCCACATATAAAATATATAATTATCACTAAAAATCACATAATGTTAAAAGTTTACTATCTTGTGGGGGCATATTACTAACTGTTCAGGATTGCATTTGGGCTGTGGGCTGTGGGTTGTCTATGCCTGCTCTATGTCATGAATGGGAAGTATTAAAAATGAATTACTCATGGATATTCATTATCTGTTGGTAATGGATATGAATATATTTATTTGATGTAATCCAATTTTCAATAGAGATTTGCTTTTGAACATTTTCATTTAATAAAAATGCAAAAAATGTTTAGGAAAACCATTGCCAGGTTAGTTTGCAGCAGAAATTTTCAGCCACGTTACATTAATTTAATTATAATCTCACCAATTTCTAGATTTCTAGCTATAAAATGTTATTTGGGTTGAAAATGCATATGTACAGTTTCAATGTGGATTATCATTTAGATTTTTCATTTAGTACGACTTGAAAATATATAGATTGTACTACTTACTACCGTGCCACCTATTTCACTGAGGGTGTGAAAATATCCGTATACTTTTTGTGCAACCTTTACAAATTTTATATGCAGAAAGGCAAAAAACGAATGGTTTAAATGACCTGGTTCAAAACTACTGAACAGATTTTTCTGAGCAGAAACTCATGAACAGTTGTCAGTGGCAAATAATTAGTCAAGAGAGAACATCACCTGATTCATTTTGATTAATGCATTGTGCAAAGTGTTACTCATTTGTAAGGAGAACAAGAGATGTGATATTTAACTTATCAGTTAGTGAATAATGGGAAATGAAGGGCTTTTGTTACCCATGCTAATAAAATAATGTACTCTGCATCTAAAAAGCAGTGTTTATTTAAGTCTCCAAAAAACATATTTTTCTCTTTCTGTTTAGTATAGCTTTAGACCTTTTCCTGCAAAAGGACTACATATTTTAATGTAATTAATGTAATCTCAAGCACATGACAGATTTGTATTTTGTGACAAAGTAGTTTACTCCCTGCTGTATTGCAGACAGCATTTTTACCAAGCTTTACTACACACTGAATAGAATCCTAAAACTGTTACAAATTTGAGCAAAAAAGCAAAAACCTAGATATAGGGACCCATATACGTATTTTAACAAATATGGCTGTAATTATTAATCTGAGTCAACACCAAGATATAATGTTTTTGTCTTGTTTGCATTTATGTACCAACAATATCTAGATGTAGCTTTTATAACTTACCCATGTAAATTATTTATTTACTTTACATTATTTATTTATTTACTTTACAATTTATATTGCACTGGGAATGCTGTTTTTAATCTGTAAGTAAAAATACTAAAGACTTACTAATAATTTCTTAATTATTTATACAAAATTACTTGAAATGTTAAAGAGAAACGTTATTCTTTTCTCTAACAGCCCTTACTCTGTGTTAGGTTCTCACATGGAATGAATCCTTGGTGTTAAAGTGATAACTGATAATCATCTTGCACATATTTGAATATGTTGATTTGTTATTACTTTGGAACAGCTATGAAGAAAAGGGTTAGGGTATAACTCATTGATAGAATCACATTGTTGAACGTTGTGTATTTTGCTGTTTTTCTAAATGTTTTAAGATTTTGAAGTTATATTATGAAAAAAGGAGATGTAACATCTGGTGAAATGTAGCAACTTTGTAGTATCTTATTAGACTGTGGATTAATTTGGCGGGAAATTAGAACATATTATAATCTGTTTCTTTTACACTGTACATAAGAATTATAATAAATATGAATAGATATAATCTATTGCATGAGAACCAAGTATATAGGAGTCATTGCTGTTCTCATATTTTATTCCTCCTTATAATAACTTGAATGATTATAGCATGGAATAATTTGGTTATCCAATAATGGAAATATTAATTCAAATTATGTTAATGGTGGTCCAGTAACAAATTATATATTAGTTCATAGCAAATTCTGTTTGCTGTCATGAATACTTGGCTATAATGAACATTACATAATGATCTCGGTCATTGGAAAGTTTTGGTACAAAAATTCATCTAATTATATATAAAAAAAGTGTAACAGTGTTTGCAGCATAACTATTATTGTGAGACAATCCAGGAGCAAACACAGCACACACAGGCTTTGCCTTTTAACAGTGGTTTATATATAAGACAACTATATACATACATATACGTGGTAGGCAAATACCTGGCAAGTAATCAATCTTCTTTACTCTGCATGGAGGACTACAATGGAGACAGAACACAAAGAGAGAGAGGTATGCCCTCTCATGGCCTCATTTATATATACAGCTTCTTAAAGTGATAAAACCCTGTGGACCCATCCTCCGTCTTAAACCGGCAATAACCATACTGATTCATCCTCATTGTATCAGCCTTACAGCAGCTGGTCAGCTATTAAATCAATATCTTAACACCCCTCCTTTTTAAAGCTGAACAGCTGATAATCCAAATGCTTTAACATAGTCCTGATATTTTTCCACGGATACATGCTTTGGTAACATATCAGCTACATTACGGTCAGTAGAACACTGCTGGAATCTTATCAGTTTCTCCTTTACAGCGTCCCTAATATTACAGTATTTGATGTCAACCTGTTTACTCGTGCGATCTCATGTTGCCATTTTTATACATGCCATATTGTCTTCAAACACTGGTACAGCTTCTTTTACATTCACATTTACGTGGCCAGTTCCATGGAGAAAGGTTTTTCTGTGGACCAGAGGGGGCGTGGTTTTGTGTACTGCCTGCATCCTGCAGATGTGGCTTAACTTGTTTGCATGGCCTGGCTTTTGCCATGCTGCGACCTAGGGCTGGTCCACTGACTGAAAGTTGGGGACTCCTGCTGTAGCACACATGGCTGAGGTAAATAACTAAGATATGAGTCCTGTTCAGTTGTGTTATGCAAACTAAGTTGCATTCTTACTGCTGTTTTTATTTTTAATAGCATTTATCAGTTAGATGGCCTTACCATATATTATCGAATTAAGCAAATTTTCTGCATTTGCATAGATTGTAAACCAGAGGTGGTATTCAGCAGGTTCTGACCACTTCTGGAGAACCAGTAGCGGAAATTTTGAGTAGTTCGGAGAACCAGCAAATACCACCTCTGACTGGAGATTTTACAGTATCCTTCCCTTGCCACGCCCACCAAGCCACACCCACAGAACAGGTAGTAAAAAAAAATTGAATCCCACCACTATTGTAAACCAATCAAGTACAGTATATTAAAGTGTAATAGTATTGCTCAGTTTTAGAAGAATTTAATGAGAATATCAGTGAATAGTATGATCCTAGGCAAATCTTATTTGATACTTTTTCTTGGCTCATAAATGATAGAACAGTAGCCAGTGAAAATGTGTTTCTTCTTTTTTACCTGAACATATTTATAATTAGAGCAGTCATGTTCCCTGTAAGTGCTTACACTTAAAATATTGGATTAGATTTGCATGAACTGGCATTTGTCAAAGCTGTGGTTAATAATGCATTAAATGAATTTTCTTCAAATTAAGTGTTCAGTGAAAGAAAAGCAGAAAAGTGATCTTAACAGATAAGACTATATTATCTGCTAATTTTCATACTATTTTACAAGAAATGTTTCCCTTTGCATCTAGAAGCTAAAGAAAATCACTGACCAAGGGACACATTGTTTCAAAATGGTTTACTTACATCACAATAAAGGAGTATATTTGTAACTCCAGATTGATATGAAGTTTCCTTGGCACTCTCTGGACTCATTTGTTTTCTAGCACTGATGATGTTACCTAGTTTGGTTATAAAGCATCTGCAAGAAAACAACCAAGGTCAGAGAACTCCAAGGAACCATCCTGCAGTATATATCACATTAATATTTCAACATGATGCTACAAAATAAATTCTTGATAGGATATCAGTCTGCAAGGATATATTACCGAGTCATGAAAACATTTTCTTCTTTATATTAATGCACATCCTGCCCATGTTTGCACTACATGCTAACTCATGGTTCCTTTAATCATTGTTTTCTCAATTAACCAATTTGCCTAAACGTCCATGCTGAAATACAAACTAGCCAACTACACTTTAGTGTACTCTAATATGTTCTGAAGACCCAGCCATATAGAGGAAATGCTTGTATTAGTGAGCTGGTAATAAACAAAGGGTCTTTTTTCTGTCCTGTTGTGACTTAGAGATACAACTACATAATTAATGCTAGGATAGGCAGTTCTCCTATTCCAGCAAGTTTATTCTTGTGTTTTTAGGAACACATCTTCAGCCTTTTTATTCTTTGGCTATTTAAGCCCAACATTTATTTTATTTTTCTTTAAACTAAACTTTCTATTAAAGCTGCTTTATCAGAATAGTGTTAATGTTTAGGGAACAAATATTTTTCATGTTGCTAAATAACTAAAACTCATTCACTATGTCTTGCTCTTTTCAAAGGAAGCAATGGAGAGGCCAATCCATCACCAACTGTTTGTGACAAGAATTATGCATGACTTTGAAAGTGATACATTTTTCCCAGAAATTGATCTTAAAAAATACAGACTTCTACCTAAGTAAGTATTATATCGACAAAAATATCTTGTATCAATTCCATGTATTTATACTAGCAATATAAAACATTTCATTGATGTATCTCTATTGAAGTAAATCTTGAGGAAATATATTTGGTTTAACAATACAGTATGAGTAAAAAATAACACTTCATGTTACTTTCAATTTAAAAAGTATTTATCCACTAAAATATTATTTCTCTCTCAAGTTATACAGGTATCCCTGTAGATATCCAGGAAGAGAATGGAATTCAGTACAAATTTGAAGTTTATGAAAATATCATCTAGACCTTATTTGATATGGGCAAAATTACTCTGCAGACCTAAATCTGTTTGCAGAATTAATCAAGACTTGTGCCTGCATTTTATTCTCTACAAGAAGAAAAAAAGTGCCTTTGTGCTTCATCCTACCCCCATTCATTGAAGCTATTGTATCAAAAAAAAAAAAACCATTCCCCTTTAGCAGCTCTGCTGAGAAGAGCTGCCTCTGCTGTAAGCAAAAAAAGATTTATTTGCAAATATAGCTCTGTTGAAAATCAAGAAGAGGACCATCTGTATTACATATTTCATGCCAGATAGCAGGTGAAAATCATAATTTTCAAGGTTGTAAAATGCATTTCCGAATTAATGTTAATTAAAAAGATAAAAGAAGTTTCTCTTCTATTGTTCAAGTCTAGCTTTTTCATGTTCATAATTTGTACTGTTAAATACATTCCACGTTTATTTTTCATTAATAAAACAGTGTATTCTAAAATCCTGCTTTTTGAATGATAAGTCTGCTTGTCTGATTTATACATATTTTTATCATGCTAAAACACTTGATCTGTTTATGTCAAGAATAATTTGGAAATGTACTCACATTTGTATTAATGGTTATAGATACCAGAAATTGTAGATCAGAAATTCTGGAAAGTTATAAATGCCATACTTCAGATTTATATGCGTAAATATTAATTGCATGTATTTAGGGTAAACACATATTTATGCAGAATTCTGTGACGGAACCATATACATGAAAGATTCACAGATTGCACTAAACCATGGGTTGCTGAAGAAGATAGACCTGGGTAAATTCATACCAAATTAGGCAACCTACATTAGGATCCAGGGTGCAGATTTGGCTGAATAGATTGTACTATGCTAAGTACTATATGAAAATGTCACTGCCTGTTTGAGATGCATAAGGAGGTAGTGTTTCTCAGGACTGAAATACAAAAAATATTAATAATCACCTGTTAGCTCAGTATTAGACTTTATAGAGTAATTGCTGTATTAGTGAGTTGAAAGGGGCACTAAGTAAAACATTCAAAGTGCCTAACTGTTAGAACACCACGATTTTAAATTGCTTTAGCCCTACTAGACAATATTTTTTTCTTTTTAAATGTGCCATGTTGAATATTAGAGAATCTTCCAAATCTGCATAGCAAATGATACACAATGCAATAGGCTCATAGCTAAGGGACTGCAGCTTCAGAGTACCCAATAGGGCGGGATCAAAGAGCAATAACAGTAAGCATGAGCACCTCACAGAGTTAATACCGTGTTTCTCCAACAATACGGCCACCCCCAATAGGAAGACCCAGCATGTTTTCTAGGCATAAAATGAAATTAAGCCCCTCCCCGCAAATTTAGGCCTAGTTCAAAACATGTAAAATTGGGGGGGAAGACGGGGGGAACTTGCTATTAGGAGTGCCCCACGGGCAGCTACGCCTCACCATCAGTCGCTCCTAACACCATGGTGGAGCACGGAGGGCTGCCTTACCCCTCCCTTACCCGGGTCAGCAGGCAGGCGGTGTCGGCATGGATGTCTGGCAGTGTTTCCGCCGCTTCTCAGGCCTCCATAGCTTCTACAGTTCACACCAGTGCTGGCGCCTCTCGCCAGCACCGTCTCCAACAACAGCATCTGAATTGCTCCCACTTTTACCCCCTCCCCATAACAACAGGGAAAAAAAAGATTTTGAAGTACCTGGGAGTGCCGCGCGTTGCATTTTGGTTTAATCCTGAGCGGCTGGGTGGGCGTGAGAAGAGTCGAGCGAGCGTCTCTGCTGCTGCTACCCTTGGTGCTCCAGCATCGGGCTCTGCAAGTTTGCAAAAGTCCCAGTGCACAGCCTGTTCCTGCATTCCAAGCGCCCAGGCTGAGCTGCAGCTGTCCCTTGCCAGCACCGTCTCCAATAACAGCGGCAGCAGTGGTGGGAACCGTGGAAGCATTTCAGCTGCTTCTCGGGTGGGGGAGCCGCCTCCATAACTTTCACGGTTCCCATCGCTGCTGCTGCTGTTATTGGAGACAGCGCTGGCGAGAGAGGGACAGCTGCAGCTCAGCCTGGGTGCTTGGAATGCAGGAATGGGCTGTGCACCGGGACTTTTGCAAACTTGCAGAGCCCAAGGCTGGAGCACCAAGGGTAGCAGCAGCAGAGACACTCACTTCTCACGGCCACCCAGCCGCTCAGGATTAAACCAAAATGCAGCGCATGGCACTCCAAGATACCTCAAAATCTTTTTTCCCCTGTTATTATGGGGACGGGGGAAAAGTGAGAGCGACTCGGATGCTATTGTTGGAATTGGCGCTGGTGCGTGGGGGGGGGGGGGAGAAATTAATTCACCCCCGAAAAGATGTCTTAGCCATTTTTTCGGGGCTCAAAAAAATATAAGGCACGGCGTTATTTTGTGAGAAACACGGTATCTAATGTAAACAAGCTCCTCCCAGTCCAAGTCATCTGGAATTGTCAAGGGAAAACTGGAATGTTTGTTTGTTTAACAAATTTATATGGCTACCCAGCTCATACATAGGTGACTCTAGGAAGCTTGCAACATTAAAAATTGCAGCATAAGTACAGACCCATAAAAAAACCACCCATCCCCTTCATGGTAGCAGCATCATGTTCTTGATAATGTGCTTACAGTTTTGCCTTACTGCAGGGGTCCTCAGACTTGGCAGCTTTAAAACTTGTGGACTTCAATTTCTCCAATCATGTTAGCTCAGGAATTCTGGGAGTTGGAAGTCCACAAGTCTTAAACTTGCCAAGTTTGAAGACCCTTTACTGGAAAATTTACCAATATTTTTTTATAGTAGAATATATATTTTTACCTCTAGGTTTCCAAATACATATGTTTAAAGATCCACGTGAAGGATATTGCATTACTCCAATAACCAACTTTAAAGAAATAAAAAGAGGAATAAGAAAAATCAAGGATATGATAATATATTATAAATTACATTTTAGCACAGAATGGTTTTGTTAAATTGTTTTTAAACCATGTTTTTGCACTTCTTTTTTTCATCATTTTCCATTTAAGAGTGTTTTTTTGTCAAAAAAAATTAAACATTAGAATTCTTGTTTACTTATGACAATCCAAAGATTTTAAAAAATCCATGGCCTTTAAAAATAATAGATTTATTAAACAGAATCCATCATTATTCTGAATTTTTAACTGTAAATTACAGGTAACTCTTGCAGGAAATGTTCATGGTGGCCCCAAAGGTGGGGTCAAATACATCTTCAGTTTGGAGTCTCTATGCCCTGCATTTCCTGTTTTTAGCAAAACTAAACAATGGGGAGTTTCTTTAATAACTCTAGTATTCTCACTCATGACTGTTCTGTTGGCTTAATTACTTACGACCATAATGGGCAGCCTCCATTATGATTGTAACTTGAGGACTACCTGCATGTTATTACATGATAATTTCATTATTCTAAGACATGGAATATTATTGTGGATAAATGTGCCTACATTTGGCTAAGAGTGGAAGCAGCATATTGCCTTCTACAGTATAAAAATCCTTGTCAACTGATAAGTTGTAAGAATGATTCCCTCAATTCTACCTGTCGTACGTCCAGCATATTGGAGCATCTTAAGAATAACGGTATCTCCACCCCATTTAATCAATAGCATAATAAATAACATTTATAGCATAATCATTAACATTGATCCCTCGTATCTCCAGAATGTACAAGTATACTAGCTTTTGACACATGGTTGCATTTTGAAATTGTATCACAGGTACTTTATTGGGCTTTGCTGAGAGACTCTTATCATTACTACAGCAAAATTAATTGCCAAGATAGTCTGGAACCCTGGAGTGTGTATTTCCTTAAATTATAGAATTAGATTTTTTTCCCCCTTTCTCAAATTCTATCACTACGATAGGAAAGGATTTCATCTGGCACAAGAATAAGCAACATAATGTTTGTATGTGGTTATAGCCCCATAGTATCTTCTACTCATCAGGTTCCCTACCCTACCTACGGTTTTTAATTGTTTAGATGCATCTATCATACTACAAACAGCAACAAGAATGCCTGAGCTTCATATTGCCCAATTCATTCTTGCAACGACAACAACAAAAAATAGAGAAAGAAAGCATTACTGTAGCCTATTGCTACATTTGGATATGAACTTCAAAAAAGGACAAAGCTAAGGTGGAATAGTATGGAACATCCTGGGATGACAAAATGAGATTATTGGAAACAATCTTGCTATTTTCCTTCCATCAAATTATATTTTGTAACTGGTCACACCAACCAGGGTAACTATTTTCTTCATTCACTTCACCATAGACATACAACTTAAGAGACATCACCTTAAATTACTGTATGTTAGATTATCCACATTGACAAAAGAAGTAGGCTGACCTGAATGGCTGTAGTCACTAATACATCATGACGGCATAAATTAAAATATATAGTAGTTACACTTGCCAAGATTTTGTGGAAGACTGATGCATTTTAGATGAATCACCAATCTACTTTTGGAACTCTAATGGAGGCCATCTGGTTTCAGCTCTCTTGCTGCTGCTACTATTAAACAATATTTAATATTTAATCTGTTTAGAACACTTTGTTCCCAAGAAAGCATGAATGAGGGGGATTAAATTATATCTGTATTATACTTTTCTATCTGACTGGTAATTAAATTGTCATTCATTGTTGCTATATTATTCATTTCACTTAGCCAGATAGTACCTGGGATAATTTTTTTCTCCTGTTCTACAAGAGATTGTTTCAATGCAACTTATTTTTAACTTGTATAGTGATGACTACTATGGAAACAAGGGTCATGCTTCTAAAGATGAGGAATATCCTACTGTCTCACAGTATTGTAAGACTTATAGAACGATATTTTAAATCCATTGTTAACCTAGCACTTTGAAAGGATTAACTTGATGCATAATGAGAAGTATGCATTCAAAGAATAAGATGTAGAAGTGTGGGAAACAAAACAGCCTATCTCATAGTCTTTTACAAAGAACAGGACCAAAATGAGAATTCAGCCATGGGTCTCAAAGAGGTCCTCTCAGCCAAATTATTTTTAGGAAAAACAGAGATGGAGCGAGCCATAGCACTGAAACAGTTTGGATGTTTAGGTATAAGTATATATTGAATGATCTCTGACAAGGGCAGAGTAGTGGTTGTATTTCTATCCTTGCCCTACTTGACTTCTATGCAG